CTGTACCCCAGTGAGAACCAGCATTCAGGGACATTCGGCCGTTTGTCCTCTCATGCCCCAACACTTAAGGAACCTGTCTCCACAAATGCGAGTGGGGGCTGAGGGCCCCAACATGTGGTAGACTATTGCCTAGCATGCATGAGGTCCTGTGTTCTAATCTCCAATACTACAAAAGACAGAAATGCCATTTTGTGTTGCAAGTAATTTTTACCAGTGAGCCTCAAAATTATGGTGCTAGGGTCTTTTTAATACTCTTAAAAATTATTGAATACCCCTAAAATTATCAATTATATGTTATAGATAGATATAGCTATACAGATTTACCATGTATTAACAATTAAAAACTAACAAATGGGGCCAGGGATTTACCTCAGTGGTTCCATCACCTGCCTCACAAACGCTAAGTCCTAAGTTTGATCCTCAGTACCCAAAAAACCCAAAACCAAACCAAACAAAAAAAACTAAGAAATGTTTATTAATGTAAAATGAAATAAGCTTATAACACGCTAACACAAACATACTTTTAAATTTTCTTAAGAATAAAAACTACACTTTCTAAAACAAAAAAAAATTAGTGATAAAAGTAGCATTGGTTTACATTGTTTGAAAATTCTGTTAACCTTTCGAGCTGGATTCTCATAACTCTTTCCGCATTCATTCTCTTGTAAGATGTTGTCTTGGTTGAAATACATGAAAAAACTCCTACTGGGGATTTAGCTCAGTGGTTCCACTGTCTGCCTCGCAAGCTCAAGGACCTGTGTTTGATCCCCAGTACAAACAAACAAACAAAAAAACCAAATAAACAAAACAATTCTATCATGAAGAAAATCCATGATCATGTTGATCTACAGTTGGAAGAGAGAAGCAATTGGGTATAGTAGTGCACAGTTGCAGCCCCAGTCCTAGCTCTGGAGGCTGAGGTAAGACGACAGCATGTTTCCAGCGTGGGCTACCGAGAAAGTTCAAAGGTAGCTCAAAAAAAAAAAAAAAAAAAAAAAAGAGTATTAAAGCCTTCCCTTTATGGTATTTTGGTTTTTTCTTTGGTACCAGGATCGAACTCAGGCAGTACAACCACTAAGGTAAATCTCCAGCCCATTTGCCTCCCCCCACTTTTTTTTTGTACCAGGGACCAAATTCGGGTCCTTGTGCTTGCAAAGCATGCAGCAAAAACACTAAACTAAATCCCCAGCCCGGCCCATGGTTTTTACTGAATTGTTTGTTCTCTTATTGAGTTGTAAGAGTTCTTTGCATATTTTGGAAAGCAGTTTTTTTTTTTTTTTTTGGTCAGTTGTATGCACTGTGAATATTTTTTTTCTCAGTCAGGGGCTGCTCTTTCTTTAATTATAATGAAAAAAATTACACATCTTTTATGGTTCATGTGTGTGTGTGTGTGTGTCTGTCTGTCTGTCTGTCTGTCTGTCTCTCTGGGGTGTCCTGTCAAAAATTCTTTGCCAGCCAGGGATAGTAGTGTGCATCTATAATCCCAGCTACTCAGAAGACTAAGGCAGGAGGTTCACCAGTTTGAAGCCGGCCTAGGCAATTTAGTGGGACCTTCTCATAATAAAAATTTTGTAAAAGTCTGGGGATGTAGCCCAGTAGTAGTACACCCATGGGTTCAACACACACACACACACACACACACACACACACACACACACAAAGAATAATGAAAATATCGCCATTAAGCCAGGCATTCAGATACACACCTATAATTCCAGCACTCTGAAAGGCTGACGTAAGAGAATCACAAGTTTGAGCCCAGGGTGGGCATTTTAGTGACCTAGTGAAAGCCTATTTAAAAAAAGAAATCTGAGGACATAGCTCATGGCTCAGTGTGAAGACTCTGCTGTACTAGAAAAACAAAACAAAACAAAAATATCATTCAATCAGACACTTGGGAAGCTGTCAAACTCATGTTATGACAGAAGTTTTTCAAAAGGCTAGATATGGTGCTGCATGCTTATAATCCCGGCACTTGGGGAGCTGAAGTAGAAGGATCGCCATGAGTTTGAGGCCAGCCTGGGGTCCAAAGTGAGTTGAAGGCCAGCCTGAACTCCACAGCAACACCTTGTCTCAAAAAAAGTTTTCCAGGCTGGGAATTTGGCCCAGAGGCACTGCACCTGCCTTGTAAGCACAAGGTCCTGAGTTCCATACCTGGACAAAAAAGGAAAAGTTTTCTAAAATTATAATTTTTACTTGAAAGCTCAAAATTTGTCATTGCCAACAAATACTATAAATTGTTTCTATTGAACTCATTCTGCTCATTTTCAAGAATACGTCTTCTAATACCAAACTCCATATAGCCATCATTTTGCTAGTATTTCCAGTATCCTATGAAAAAAGTGACTTGCTCAGCTAGTAGGTGCTTTTCCTTGAGAAAACTCTCTCATTCCTGTATACAGCAGAAGTGCTTCATATATGGTTTCTACTTCATCGTACAAATTATTTAGACACACATATGAAGCCAGTCATGGTAGTGTGTGCCTATAATCCCAGCACTGTGAGAGGTTGAGGCAGGAGGATCACAAATTTGAGCCCAGCTTCAGGCAATTTAATGCCACAGCAAGACTGTCTAAAAATAAAACAGATAAAAGGGCTAGAATATAGCTTAGTTCAAAGGCCCTATGTTTAATAGTCAGTACTGCATACACACAGAAAAATAAAACAAAAACCATGAGCCTGGTGCAGTGGTGTACGCCTGTGACACCTGAGGCAAGGGAATCATATCAAGCTCAAGGCCAGCCTGGACTGCAGAGATTCTATCTAAAACAAAACAAAATTTTAAAAACAAGTTTTAAAGAGCCGGGTGTGGTTGTGCACGCCTGTAATCCTAGCACTCAGGGGGCTGAGGCAGGAGGATTACTGTGAGTTCAAGACCAGCCTGGGCTACATAGTGCTTCTAGGTCAGTCTCAACTACATACAAAAAAACAAACAAATAAACAAACAAACAAAAAACAAGTTTTAAGGGAGGAGAGGAGAAAGGGGAAAGAAAAAAGAATCAAGATATATTATATACAGGTACAAATCCCCTATGATGAATGTGATCAAAAGTACACCAATAAAATTAATTAAAAAAATAAAAAGTTTGAGACTGGGTGTGGTTGTGACACCTGTATTACTGGCACTGGGGAGGCTGAGGCAAGAGGATTGCTGGGAGTTGGAGGCTAGCCTGGGCTACATAGTGATTTCAAGGCCAGCCTGAGCTACACAGCAAGACACTGTCTCAAACCTCAAGGACAACAACAACAGCAGCAGCAATAACAAACAAAAATCAAAACCAAGTTTGAAGCCAGTCTGGGCAATTCAGTGAGACTCTGTCTCAAAATTGGGGGGAAAAACAAAAAGCTGGAGGTTTGGGGTTGAAAATATAACTCGGAATGGCGTGCTTGGCCCTGTTCAACCCCAATACCACTTAAAACAATAAGAGGCAGAAGATAAGAAAGAAAATGAAAAGAAGGAGAAAGAGGAAAAGGAGAAGGAAGAAGAAAAACAGTAAAGGGCAGGAGCGGCTGCAAGCCTAAAGTGAAAGGTACTGAAACACAGAATAAATAGGAGACTATATGAGAACCAGTATGGAGATGGGCTCATCATAACTTGATTTTAAAAAAGTAGTGGCCAAAACAAAGGAAATAGACAAAGATAATGAGAGAAGATGCCTGAGAATATCCTGACATAACTGAGAAAAGTCACAAGAGAGAAAAAACAGGTTTGGGAGATGGTGAATTCCATATAAGTACATTTAAGATTTAATACCAGTGAAGATTTCTAGCTTTTCCATAGCAGTAGCTACTACTCAAGTGCTTCTTTCCTTACTTTTTTCCTGCTCTTCTAATGTAAGACCTAAATTACATCCCATGCTAAATGACAAAGGGCCTAGGAGACAGCGCTCTAACCCCCTCCCATTGTAGCCATAGCCCCGACCTCTAAAGGTAAGTCAATCTTGTACTGTTTGAAATCCGGATCCGAATTAACGTGTAAGTTAGTTAGTGGTTCTATACTATGGAATACATAGAGACCCCAAGTTAATTATTGAACTGCTTGCTCATCCTGAATGTCTTGGTGGCCTTTGAACCATCCTATAAATATCTGTTAATCATCAATGTGTGACTGCTGAGTACTTGACTGCTGACCACCAACTCAAGTCAACAGACCTTTGTCTCCTGCCTGCAAGTTTAACATGTTAACCCCCCTTTTTACCCCCCCTATAAAAAGGACCTCAGCCCCTGAGCTGGTGCCTCTCTGAGCTACCTGGCTCTGGGAGTGCCATCTGGCCAGACTAATAAAGGTTTATTTACCATCTAGCCTGGTGTGTTCCTTCCTGGGTTTCTCGTTCCTCCATCGCGCTCCCGGAGCCTCATTGGGCTATAGGACCCACCATCGTGGAGGCCTATTCGGCTGTTCACGCTACGTGAAGTGTAAGTGAGACTTTGTGTCTCACACTAAAAATATGAGTTTTGAACTTACATGATTTAAGTAGTTTCTCACACATCTCCGGAAAAAGAAGCAATATCTCCTAGCCAGAAAAATTAATCCCTGTATTCTATCCTTGTTTTAGGTCACCAGGTGGGTGAAGGGAGAAACCATTCTTTTGGAATCTTCAATTTCTAGAGCCATGCTTTTGTTTATTTCAAAATGAAACTTTATTATATTTTAATTAAGACAAGCTTCTAGTATACACTATATAATAGTGTGTATCAAGATACCCGACGTTCTCTAGTGATCCTTTCCACAATTATGCATCGCCTTTCTACAACATTTTTATAAATATAAGGTAGTTGAGCAAGTCGAAACCAGAACTTGTGCCGCGTGGGAAGAGCGGGGCAGCCACAGCCAGTCTTCCGCACACAGCTACGTGAGGAAGGAAAACTACATTTCCCGACGACCTCTGCGTAGCGAGACGCAAGGCACCATGGGAGGGGCTTCTACGTGAACAGCCTCCCCATTGGTGCTCCATCGAAAGGTCAGTGTAAGATAGCGGGCGATTGGATATATTTGTGGACGCTCAGTGGCGCCGCGACGCTGCCTATTTTAACTTGTTTTTTCAGTTGAGTTTTCTGACCCCGAGACGCCGTGTCGTGAGTATAGATTTTCAGGTTTAGGGGAAAAGGGTTGGGAAAAGAGACTGTGGGAAGAAAAGAGAGTTAGGGAGAAGTAACTGTGGAAGTAATGTGAGGGAGGAACAGTACCCTGAATCTTGGGTGTACTTAATTGGGTTGGGGATCAGCGGAGGACAGTTTTTGGCGAGATATGGGGGGTTGGGAGGGGATTGGCGAGCTGTGGCAATGAGGGAGTCAAGAACGGAATGAAGTAGGAAACAATAGCGCAGGATATGGACGCCCTGAGATATTCCCTCACCCCACGTTTTTCCGCGCTTCATGAAACTAACCAAGTTGTTGAGGATAAAGTGAATTTCGGTCTGGGAGTGCAACTCGGGTACAGCGCTTGCCTGGCGTGCTCGAGGCCCTGGGTTCAATACCCAGTACAGAAAACCAAACAAAAACCCCGTTTGAGAAAAATTATAGCAACAGATAACTTAACTATATTTAGCTATATTTAGAGAATTGCAGTCAGATAACTTTGGGGACACTCAGAAAAGAGATGGAGAGATGATGATGATTATTTATTTATTTATTGTACCGGGGATCGAACTTAGGTCCTTGTGCTTGCGAGGCAGGCGGCAGAACCACTGAACTAAATCCCCGGCCCTTTGTTTTGTTTTTTGAGACAAGGTCTTACTATGTAGCCCAGGCTGGCCTCAAATTCGCAGTGATCCTTCTGCCTCAGCCTCCCAAGTGCTGGGATTACAGATGTGCACCATTATGTCTGGCTGAGGAGATATTATTTAAGATTAATTTTCTTGTGCAGACTAGATTTTATTAAGCTCAATTTTGATGGTTGTGGAGGGAGCTATTTCAGAAGGTGGGAAGCTGTGCAGAAGGCAAGAAGTTATGTGGAATTGCTTTTGGGGAGTAGAGGAAAATTAGGCGTGAGAGATAGGTTTGGACCTTATGTAGACTGCCATGAATTCTAGGTTGAGGAAACTAATTTGATACTGATGTTGAACCTTTTAGAGATGAGTGCCCAAACTGTACCCAGAACCCATTTATTTATAAGAAGATACCAACACTGCAATTAAACCTGAATCCTGAGGTTTTAGTTTAGAAAAAAAAACTCGTACATTAATATCTTTGAGCCACTGATGAATTTATAATTTTTAAGAAAATAGTCTAGAGGGCTGGGGATTTAGCTCAGTGCCAGCACACCTGCCTTGCAAGTGCAAGGTCCTGAGTTTGATCTCTAGTACCACAAAAAGAAAAGAATGAAAATAGTCTAGAGGCCATAAGGGGTGGGGGTAGTAGCCTGGTATGGTGGTATATGCCTGTGATCTCAGTACTCTGGAAGGCTGAGCAGTTCAAGCCCAGATTCAGCAACTTAGTGATTTAGCTAGACCCTGTCTCAAAATTTAAAACAAAAAACAAAAACAAAAACAAAACAGCTGTAGCTCAATGTAAAGCTCCTGGCTTCAATCCCCAGTACACTGGGAAAAGGCTTGGGCATTAAACTATTATAGTAGTCCAGGTAAGAAGGTTGAGATTCGGAATTAACATGGTCATTGTAAAGAGAGAATACATAGAATTTTCATATGGTTAGATGGAAGGTTTTAGAAAAGAAATGGCTAGACAAGGTGATGCCTGCCCATGTATTTAAGAGACTTGTGTGAGGGTCATTTGAGCTCAAGAGTTCACGGCCTACCTAGGCCACATAGGACCCCACGTTAAAAAAAAAAAAAGTAATCACATTATGAATTTAAATTGCCAGGTCTAGGTTGCTTTGAAAGGGTTTTGGTATTTAGTCCAGGCTGAACTCAAACTTGTAATTCTCCAGCTTCAACCTCCTGAATGCTGGGGTAACAGGCGTTCATTGCCATGCCTAGCAGAAATGTTAGCTTTGAGGTGCTAAAATATTTGTGACTTAAGTAGCTACTTTTTTTTAAGTTAGACATCTCAAGCTGTAATGTGACATAATAGGGAGAAATGGCCAGTAGTAAATGGAATTCAGGATCAAGAGGTTGAGAGATTATCACCATGTAATGATTAGTTATTCTATGCCAGGTGAGATTTTAGATGATAGAGATAATTACAAAAGCAGTAGGAATAATGATATCTCCTGAGAAATGGATAGAGGAAATAAGAAAGTTGAAGGCAGAACCTTTTGAACCAAGGGAGTAAGTTTTTCAGGGATAATAGTGGCCTCTGTTGAGTGCTTACATACATTAAACATTGTGCCCTGTTGTTTTATTCATTATTTCATTTGATCCTTGCTCTAACCTGTGACATAGAGGTTTAGAGAGTATCAACTGCCTGAGATAAACAGCTAATATGGCCAAAGCTTTGACTCAAACCCACGTCGGTGTGATTTCTAAGTCCAAGCTCTAAACTACAATATTTTTCAGAAAGGGTGATAATATCAAATGCAACATACAAGTCAAGGAGTTAGTGTTGGATGAAGGAGAATGAGAATTGAAAAGAGCAATAGAGTTTACCAATTTGGATGTTTGCTCATCAAGAAGAGCAACTTCAGATATACAGGCATTGTCAAGCTAAAGGCAAGCCAGGTAGGGTGGTGTACACTTGTGAGCCTCTTGGGAGGTTGAGGCAAGAGGATCACAAGTTTCAGACCTACCTGGGCAACTTAATGAGACCCATTGTCAAAATAATAAAAAAGGATGGGGATGTAGTTCAGTGTTCCTCAAGTTTAGTCCCCAGTACCATAAGAGAACAAGCAAGCAAAAAGAGGTGAGGATAGACAGCTTTTTGCAATAAATATTTATGGAACATCTATTATAAGCCAGGTACTATTTTATTTATTGGTCATAAGTCAGTGAACACCACAAATAAAATCCCCACCCTTGGTGAATCTGTGTATCTTGCTGTAGGATACAGTAGAGAACTGTCAGATAGTGTTGTTACAAAGAAGCAAAAATAGGGCTGTGGATTTAGCTCAGTGGTTCCATCACCTGCCTTGCAGGGGCAAGGTTCTGAGTTCAATCCCCAGTACCAAAAATATATATAATAATAAAAAAAAAGAAGCAAAGATAGTGGATGAAGGGATGCTGGAGCATCAGAAAAGATTCCGTCATCAAGATGACATTTGAGGCCTGAAGGAGGAAAGAGGAAGCCACATAGATGAGGAAAGATCATCATAGGCAGGACTAGAAGTGCAGTGGTTCTGTAGTCTAGTTTGCCTGGTATGTCTGAAGAACAGCAGAAGCCAGTGATTCATGGAACATTGGGCAAGGAAGAGTGGGAGTAATAGATGAGGCCAGACCTTATAGGTCTTTGTAGGGCATTTTAAAGACTTCGATTGTCTGAGTAAGACAAAAAGTCATGCAGACTTTTGAGCAAAGAAGTGTTGTAGCTTGTGTTTTAAAGAATCACTGAAACTTTTGTTTTGAGAACAGACTCTAAGGGCTGGGGATCAGAATGGAAGCATAGAGACCAATAAAGTGGCTGTTGTAGGGCCGGGCATGGTGGCACACGCTTGTAATCCCAGCACTCGGGAGGCTGAGGCAGGAGGATTGCTTTGAGTTCGAGACCAGCCTGGGTTACATAGTGAGTTCCAGGTCAGTCTCAACTACATAGTGAGACCCTGTCTCAAAAAAACAACAACAAAAAAAAGAGGCTGTTGTATCTGGTTATGGTGATAACATGCCTTTAATTCTAGCTCCAAGAGCCTGGGAGGCTAAATCAGGAGAATCACAAGTTTGAGATAGCCTGGGCAACTTAGTGAGACTCTGTTTCAAAATAAAAATAGAAAAGGGCTGAGGATGTAGCTCAGTGGTAGAACATTTACCCAGAGTTCTATTTTCAGCCCCAACAAAAAGTAAATAAATAAATAAAGGTTATTCTAGCTGAGTGTGTGGTAGTTGCGGCTACTCAGGAAGTTGAGGGAGACCACTTAAACCCGTGAGCTTGAGACCAGGCTGAGCACCATAGTGGTACCTTCTCAAAAAAAAAAAAAAAAAAAAGTAGTCATTGGAGCGAGAGGTAACAGTTGGACTAGGGCAGTAATGGTTGAGGGGATGAGTGAGTAGTTGTCAGAGCCTAGATTCCCCCCCCCAGTAGATCAAACCTAGGGCCTTATACACAATAGACAGATGTTCTACCACTGAACCATATCCTTGGCCTAGATTCTGGATATTTTTATTTATAGTCAATAGGGTTTGCCACTTGATTGTAATATAGTACATAGGCCAAAGAAAGGAGTAAAGTTTCTCCAAGTTTCATTTTGTTTTGTCATGAGCAAATGGCAGGGTGGAATTACTAATTACTGGAATGTAGGAATTTGAGAGAAGAGCCACTTTTGTTGAAGGGAGGTGTATGTTAGGATCTCTGTTTTACACTTGTTAAGCTGGGGAGACCTGTTAGCAGTGTGCAGACAGGGAGAGGCAGTTAAATGCCTGGCTCTGGAGGAGTGGGCAGAGTCACAGCTGAAGTGTGAATTTGAAAACCATTATACACTTGGTATTTAAAACCATGAGAGGAAAAAAAAACAAAAACCCATGAGACTTCATTAGGTCACCAAGGCAATGAATAGAAAGATGAGGAAGAACTAGCTGAAAAGTAATGACTAATTAAGAAGGAGGAAAACTAGGAGTTAGTGCCCTGGCAGCTAAATTAAGGGAGGTTTTAGGAAATAGTGGGGAAAGGTACGGAGTTCTAGATAGGAAGATGGAGATAACCATGGTCCCTTTTCATACTTTTCCACAAAATTCTGCCCCAAAAGGCTTGCCTGTAACCCCAACGCTTGGGAGACTGAGGCAGGAGGATCATGAGTTCAAGGACAGCCTGAACTACATAGTGAGACCTTGTCTTAAAAAAAAAAAAAAAAAAAAAAAGTCTACCCCAAAAGACTAAAGATTGTAAGCAGATATATACCAGGTAGAAGAACAAAGTATTTCATCTTTTTTTGTCTTGCTCAGAATCAGAGTGGACAGACAAAACATGCTTGATAAGAACGCTTTCACCAAAGCCAAAGAGAGACCAGTCTCTTTTTCCCCACTCCTCTTAAAATCATGTAACAGTGGTATTTCTTCCCAACTGTGAGGTGTATGTGCCATCAAAATAGAGGAGCTCCTGATCTTACTACTGATTAAAATGAAGATTGTGAATGAACCTTTTAAAAATTTATAGGTAATTTTTTGTTTTGCTAATATAATTCAAATGGTTTTTGTTATATTTTGTTTTTTGTTTATAATGTTGAGGATTGAAGCATGCTAGGCAAGCACTCTACCACTCAGCAATATCCCCAGCCTTTCTAAAATTTTATTTTGAAACAATCTCACTAAATTAGTCTAGCCTCAAACTTCTTATCCTCCTGCATCAGCCTCCTAATTAGCTGAGATTATAGGCTTGTGCCACTGCCTAGCTTGTTTTTTTGTTTTTCTTGTTTTGTCCTTCTAGTGCTAGGGATAGAACCTAGGGCCTCAGACATCCTAGGCAACTTTTTTTTTGTTAATATAAAGCAATAGAAAAAGCACATCAAATAAAAACAATAATAGCTTTTTAGCATTGTAAATTTGGCATAGTATTCTATTTTACTTTTCATTACTATGTCTCATTTATTAGAGAGTTTTCTAGCTGAGTAGAATAGCACACATGTACTCCCAGCTACAAAGGAGGCTGAGGCAGGAGGACTATTTGAGTCTGGGAGTTTGAGACCAGCCTGGGAAACAAACTATTTCTCACACACACACAAAAAAGGAAAGAACCTTTTCTGAAACTCCTCCTGTATTTCAGTGTAAGGACTTGTTTTTACATTATTGCAGGTAGCATTGATACTGAGAAGACTTCTTCCTATGTGTGTTTATCCAAATATCCATTGTCATTCTCATTGTATTTGAAAATAATAATGAAGAATACCTGTGAAAATTTGAAAGGCATTTAGGAGTTGAAAGGACTTTAAGGAATATTCTATTTTAAATCATATTGTCGAGCAGGAGGCTGTGGACCACAGGTGAGGGTCAATGGCTAACGCAAAGGGACTTCTTCCTTCAAGCTCTTCAGACAGCGATTCTGACAGTGAAGCTGGCAAGCAGTTAAAGAGAAAAAAGCAGTTTGCTCCGGGACAACCTAGAAAGAAGCAAAAGGCCGGTGAGACTTCAAGAGCTCTGTCATCTCCTGAGCACAGCACCAGCAGCAGCAGTGAGACCGTGTTCCCGAGTGGGGAAGCGGGGCATTTCATACATGGGGTTTGTAAGGAAGGAGATACCTGTCACTCCGAGAGTCCGTATGGTGTAGTGTGCAAGTCTTTCCAGCGAGGCTACTGTGTATGTGGAGACTGCTGCAGATATGAGCACAGAAAACCACTGAAACAGGAAGAAGCAGCTGCTACAGATCTAACTGCAGAACCATCCCTTGTTATTTCCTCAAGTCTCTCCTCCATCGCTGGACCACTTGTGGAGATGAATACGAATGAGGCTGAGTCCAGAAATGTGAACTTGCCAGCCATAGGCCCAGGTTCCAAGGACTGGGCGAATGCCATTGAGTTCGTGCCTGGGCAGCCCTACCGAGGCCGCACTGCCCTTGCCTGCCCAGAGGCTCCTGTGCAGGGTTCAGTGCCCAAGGCAGAGTCTGAGAAAGAGCCCATGATGAGGACCAAGAAGCAGCTCTGCACCTATGCTGCCATGGGAGAGTGTCGCAGTGGGGAGAACTGCGTATACCTGCACGGTGATACCTGCGACTTGTGTGGGCTGCAGGCCCTGCACCCGATGGATACAGCCCAGAGGTCCCAGCATATAAAATCTTGCATTGAGGCCCATGAGAAGGACATGGAGGTGTCCTTTGCCGTGCAGCGCAGTAAGGACATGGCGTGTGACATCTGCATGGAGGTGGTGTATGAGAAAGCCAATCCCAGTGAGCGCCGCTTCGGCATCCTGTCCAACTGCAACCACACCTACTGTCTCAAGTGTATTCGAGAGTGGAGGAGTGCTAAGCAGTTTGACAGTGAGATCATAAAGGCCTGCCCTGAGTGCCGTATCACATCTCACTTTGTCATTCCAAGTGAGTACTGGGTGGAAGAGAAAGAAGAGAAGCAGAAACTCATTCAGAAATACAAGGAGGCAATGAGCAGCAAGGCATGCAGGTATTTTGATGAAGGCCGTGGAAACTGCCTATTTGGAAGGAACTGTTTTTACAAGCATGCATGCCCTGATAGACCCTGATGGCCATGGAGAGGAGCCACAGAGACAGAAAGTACCATCATCAAGCAGATACCAATTGGGGACAATGAGCTAACTGACTGAGCAATGAGTGGAACTTGTTTCATGATGACCTGGAAGATTTTCATGACTTGGACGTACAGCGGCTTTGCGTGGCATGGAAGGGCTTTCTGAGCCTTAGACAGTAACTGTGCCATGTGTCAGTGCGTTGCTTTCCAATGCAGGTCTCTCAACTGCATGTGCTGTTGTGATCACTTACCAGGACCTGCTCTCCACCCCACTTAGCCAAGAGTGTGTTGTCTGTTTAAAAAAGTCTTTAAGTTAGAAAATAAATAAATAATAAAACATTGTCTTCAGGAGGCAAATAGGGAAATGTTAGAGAGGGAACCAGTCTGTATCCCATGTGTGTTTTTTCTGTTCCTAGAGTCTCATTATGAATTCTTGTTATTTGATAGGTGTGAATAAGACAGCATGAACTTTACCCTGACACGCACCCCTGTCTGCAGAAAGTAAGACATTTGTTTATTTTCCAATTGTTAAAAAATCAAGACTTTTGTAACCTTAGATCAAGTTAGCATAGGACTTAGAAGAGTTTTGGAGACATACTTCCTAAATCTTGATTGGAACTATATAATATCTCATTTCTCTATTCTTAAAATTTAATGTTAGAACTCATTCACGCTGGGCATAGTGGCACATGCCTATAAGTAATCCCAGTACTTGGGAGACTTAAGGCAGGAGGATTGCTATGAGTTTGAGACCAGCCTGAATTACATAGCAAAACCCTGTCAAAAAATGTACAAAACAAAACCACCCCCCAGTTCAGGATTCATTCAGTTTGGGTGGATGGGGCATAAGGCTAATCAGTAGATCCTGGATCACAGAGAACAACCCACATCCACACATGGAACTTTATTTTTGGTTCTGCCACCTGCTTACTGATAATACCTCATTATTCCTTAGTGCCACAGCTCTCATCCATAGCAGAAGTATTTCTTAGTTCATATGTTAACCTATTTCTCAGTATTGTTAAAAGGCAATACCTTCTGAAAATACGAAACATTAAGTACAACTATGTCATAAGCTTTTTTACCTCTTAATTTGTAATGTTGGAGATTGAATCTAGGTCTTTATGCCTGTCAGATGTGCTACCACTGAGTCCAAAAAACTTTCAATAATTGAGAAAAATGTTGGGTTTTTTTCTTTATGCTGCTTAAGTCCCCCCACCCATCCCCCAAAATGAGAATTGATCCCAGGGTCTTTCATGTATATGCTCTATCACTGAGTTACACCCTCAGCATGCGAATAAATGTTAATATATCTATGTGTTTGCTTATTTAGAAGGAAATGCATATATTAACTACATCCATTAACTGTGGCTCTGGGCTTCTGGTATAAAATTTTTCCACCCTGATGTCTGGTTTGTTATATTGTAAATTGCATACAGCCAAACTGGATTGATTTTTCACCTGTTTCTCTACTTCTGTATCATTTGTTTTCTCATTTTCATTGTGTTAGCTTAAGTCTCTTGTTTGCTAAAAGCAAACAAAAACTTAACCCAGAATCTTTTTACCATTTTTGTCATCTGCACAATTCAAATTCCAGATGCTGATTTGGTTGTTTCCTTTACTATATATTTTATAGTACTAAATATTCTCATTGTTACTATGTGGTTACTTAGTTTATACAGTAAACTAGTTTTTAAGTGATCTTTTAGTCTTTTAACATGTATTTTGAATCCAGTTTTAAACCTTGATATTACCTTGTAACATCAAACTTTCAATATATGTGAGGACCTTAATTATTGTATAAACACTTCAAGGATAAACCCCTTTGTATCTTAAAAAAAGTATAATGTTTTTATAAGTGTTCAGTGAATTTATTGAATACACCCTGTCTAATTTCCAATAGACCAGCAGTTGCCTCAAAACACGGTGTTGCCTCTAGCGTTAGTGGTCCCACCAGGTGGAAGGAAATGGCAGATCTGATGGAGTCAACTCCCTTGCCTTCGATCAAAGACCGCCTGGCTGTCCTCTGCCCTTCCCAGGAGCTTCTGGAATATTATCAAAAGAAGATGGCTGAGTGTGAGGGAGAAAATGAGGATCTCTTGAAGAAGCTAGAACTCTACAAAGAAGCTTGTGAAGGACAGGTAAAAGACTGGCTAGATGTAGTGGTACATTCCTGGTGTCCTAGCTACTCAAAGCTGAGGTGAGGATTCCTTGAGCCTACAAATCAAGACCTGTGCAACATGGTGGCCTAAAAAAAAAAACACAAAAAACTTATCAGGAAATTTTTTGAAAATGCAGAGCTAATGCATGCCTTTTTTGTCAGAAATCTTAAAGTGCCAGTGTGTACCACAAGCAGATATTTTATAGATATATTTTTTTGTTTTTTTAGTACCAGGAATTGAACTCACATACTTGCACTTGTGAGGCAGGTGCAGCGCCACTGAGCTCAATCCCCAGCCCTGTTTTTTGTTTTGTTTTTTTGAACAGGGTCTCATTATATGGCTCAGGCTGGCTCGAACTCATGGCAGTTTTGTCTCAGCCTCCTGAATCCTGGGATTACAGACATGTACCGTTGTGACGGGATATATATGTAATTCTTTTGGTACTGGGGATCGAACTTGGGACCTTGCACTTGGGAGGCTGGCGGCAGCACCTCTGAGCTAAATCCCTGGCCCTATATATGTATTTTTTAATTCCTCAGCCCAGATTGCTACTTTTACACCCCTCCTTACATCATAGCCTCCCAAATTGCTTTACCTCTAAAACTTTGCTTTTTTTTCTGTGACACAGTCTCACTGTGTGACTTACCTGACCCCAAACTCCTGGGCTTAAGTCCTGCCTCAGTCTCCTGAGTAACTGGGATTACAAGCACATACCTTTTTCTTTTGGTACTGGGGATCAAACTTGGAACCTAGTGCTTACAAGGCAGCTAGTGGCACCACTGAGCTAAATTCCCAGACCAGCACATGCCTTTTCTCCCTCTGGGGTATAGCTCAGTGGCAGAATGTGTGCCTAGCATGTGCAATGCCCTGGGTTCAATTGCCAGCACCACAAAGCAGTAGTAGTAATATCTTAAACTCTTGAATCTCCCCTTCTCTGTTCTTCCATTCCCGTACACTTGACAATTCTAACTTCGTTGTTACTTCCCTGTCTTCCAGACTTCAGGTTTCTCAGTGCGTATATCAGCTTCTGACATGAACTTCCTTTCTAACCTAAACTCTGTCAGGCTTTACTTCAATATAATAACTGTATGACTTACCATGACCCGTTATGTTTTGCTTCACCTACATAGCAGAAAACCTAACTGCAGCTGGATACAATTCTCTGCCACCTACTCTGGAGCAGTATTTCTCAACCTTAGCATCACTGACGTTGGTCTGGATAATTCTGTGTTTTGGGGGGCACTGTGTATGACAGGGTATTTAGTGGCTCCCCTGGTTTCTACACAGCAGATATCAGTAGCGCAACCTTCCAGTTGTGACAGTCAAGACTCTCCAGACATTGTCATGTTTCTAGGGCAGGGGTGGAAAGGAATGGAGGTATTATAAGTGTGTGTACACACACTTGAGAACCACCGAGCTCAAAAGGCTACAAGTCACTGTAGAATGAGTTTCCTCAATGCATGCACAGCAATTTTCTTGTGGATGCATGGTCGGTGCACCCTCCCATTCTCCTCCCCTCCTCTCCTTTGTATCTTTGGTTGTGCCTCATATCAGTGCCTTGCCTTCCCTACACTCCTCCAGCCCTCAAAACCCTTCACCCTTTTCTCACCAGGTAATCTATTAGTCTGAGACAAGATCTTGTTAAATTGTCCAGGCTGGACTCAAGCTTGCAATCCTGCTGCCTTAGTCTCCTGTAGAGCTAGGATTACAGGCACACGTGGCTTCCTTTTTTTTTAATGTTTTTTGAGACAGGTTCTTGCTATTTGTTCAGGCTGGCCTCGAACTTAACTATGTAGCCCAGGCTGCCAGGCTGGCCATGAACTTGCAGCAATCCTCCTGCCTCAGCCTTTCATGCTGTGATTACAGATGTGGGCCACCATACCCAGCCTCTGGCTTCTTTTAGTCTGGAATGTCAAAGTTTGTCCAGAGTCTACTATAATATAAGTAACCTAATTTAATACATGCATTATCTTCCTATACATGTGACTATAACTTCCAAATAACTAGCCCTCTTCAGCTCCAGGTTAATATACCCCTATCTGAATGGATCTCCTTTTTTCCTGTCCTCTCCTTTGACTGCCATAAACCATAATCTTTTCTCCTTCCATTTCTTTCTTTCTTTTTTTTTTGAGACAGGGTCTCTAATTCAGGCTGGCCTTGAACTTACTATGTAGCCCAGGCTAACCTGGAACTCTGATCCTCCTGCCTCACCTGGGATTGCAGGTGTGCAGCCACCATCCCCAGCTTCCCCTACCTCCATTTTTTTATCCTTTAACTTTTTCTTTATTCTGAGTCTTAGTAAATGGTTTCATTGCTTACAGTTCTGCTCAGCCCCCTGCTTCTCATTACTTGGTAAGTCCTATTGATTCTGCTTCCCAAGTATTACTTAATCCATTCCCACATGTCTGCTGCTGATGCTAGTTCAGAACCTCATACCTCACCTGAGCTGTGTATTACAGTATTTCCCTCACACTATCCCAGCCTCTCTAGTCTGCATCATACTTTTCACTACTGAAATACCTGTAGTTGACCAAACATAAGAGACTTTTTAACTTGGCATGGTTTCATATGCCTGTAATCCCAGAATTCTGGGAGGCTGAAGCAGGATGATCACAAGTGACTTTAGTGAGACTCTGGTTCAAAAATTGCAAAAAAAAAAAAAAGAGCCTCTAGAAATCCATCTGTAAGGAGTTACATCTGTGAGAAAGGGAGCTAGAGATGGAGGGAAGGAAGAAGGAAGGTAAGAGGAATTAAAGTGTGTTATGTGCATGTACTAGTTCTCCACAATGAGTGTAATCATTATGTACATCAAACATACTAATAAATGTAATTTTAAAAAATGAAGCCGGGTGTGGTGGCGCACACCTGTAATCCCAGCACTCGGGAGGCTAAGGCAGGAGGATCGCTGTGAGTTCGAGACCAGCCTGGGCTACCTAGTGAGTTTCAGGTCAGTCTCAACTACAGAGTGAGACCCTGTCTCAAAAAACCCCCCCCCCCCAAAAAAATCCATCTCTAAAAGGCAGCTCAAAAAAAAAACCAAAGAAGCAAACAAAAAAAACCAAGTTCTTATGTAAGAAGCACACAGGTGCAAAAGACACAGTGGAGTGTCCAGCCTCCGTCTAAAAATTGCAGAGAGAGAAAAGCCCTCCTATGACACGAGATTCTATGAAAGAGTGATGAATGTCCTAAAGAAAATTTATGAAGAAAGTGATAGATAAGATGTGAATCATTAATAAAGCCTAGGTGGGACTAAGAAGCAAGCAAAAGAGACAATTATTTTTGTTTTTGTTCTGAGACAGGATCTCCCTACGTAGTCTTGTGGATCCTCCTGCCTCAGCCTTGAGTGGTGGGAATACAGGTATGCACCATCATGCCCAGCTGAGAGAAATGATGCTCTAAGGGCTGGGGGTGTAAGCATTTGGCCTAGCATGACTGAGGCCTGGAGTCCCCAGCACTGCAAAAAGAAATAACGTTGAAGAAATTTCTCTGAAGCTAGTTTTGTTAGTACCCTGGTCACTGTGTTCAAGAAAGGTTATGTTCCATTCACATGTGAAATTTAAAAAGTCTTCCTAACAAAAATGTCACCTCGTGTGTGTTTTTTGTTCAGCTTGAACTCAAAACTAGTTGCTTGCCTTTAAATGACTGACAGCAGCTCTTAACTAATCAATGTAAAAATAACTAAAACCTTAATTTTTGCATAAAACGCAAATTTGTACCTGTGCTTGAAATTTGCTGTAAAAAGATTGATCAGTTTTCTATAAGCAGCTTAAGCAATACATTTGCCATGGGTTAGTATAAACTAATTATCTAATCATAACTTTTTCTTTCTAGTCTTAAATATACTTATTGAAATAAGGTCTAAAATTGACAAGCATCTTATATAGTACCACTTGGTAAGTTTTGCCAGGGATTGTCATGGCTTACAAAAGCAGCCAAAAAGAAAAAATAATTAATTTGAAAATCCATCTATTCCTATGTTCAATAAAATTACTTTTTTTATTAAAGAAGAGTCGTATTGAAGCTGGGGAATCCATCTCAGTAGAGCACCTGCCTCACCAGTCAATCCCCAGCATCACACAATAGTCCCTATTATCTATGATATCATTATTATCCCAAAGATTGAAGCCATACATACAGACACAAATTGATCTTTCCCTCTCCTGCACTTATTTTCTCCTTTTTCATTTTTCTATTTATTTATTGCTTGCAGTACTGGGGATGGAACCCAGGACTTTCATCCTGAGCTATATCCCTATCCTTTTTTAGTTTTTGTCGATTTATTTATTTATTTATTTGTTTGTTTGTTTGTTTATTTATTTATTTATTTATTTTTTGAGGCAAGATCTCACTATGTAGCCCAGACTGACTTCAAACTTAAAATGATCGTCCTGCCTCAGCCTTCCTAGTGCTGAGATTATAGGTGTGTGCCACCATACTTGGCTCTTTTTTTGGTATTAGGGATCAAATGCAGGACCTTGTGCTTAAGAAGCAGGCATGGCGCCACTGAGCTAAATGCCCAGCCCCCAGCTCCTTTTTGGTTTTTATTTTGAGACAGGGTCTTCAGGTGGGACTCAAACTTGGAATCCTTGTGTCTCAGCCTTCCAAGTGTTGGGATTACAGACAGGTATGTGCCACTACTTCAGCCATTTTTTTCCTTTGTGAAGACTTTTTAACTATCTTAACCATTTTTCGGGGTACAGTTCAGTAGTATTAAATATATACACACTGTTGTGCAGTGGATCTTCAGGACCTGTCTTACAAAATGGAACTCCCATTAAACAAGTCCTCATATTCCCCCTATCCTATAACAAACATTTTATTGATTTCTATGAAATTGAGTCTAGACCTTATTAATAAGGAAATCATATAGGGGTGTGTGTGTGTATGTGTGACTGGCTTATTTCACTTAGTGAAAGTTCTGTAGCTTGTGGTAGGACTTTTCTTCCTTCTTAATAAACATATTAGGCCATTGCCAGGGATTTAGCTCAGTGGGTCTGCCACCTGCCTTGCAAGCACAAGGTCCTGAGGTTAATCCCTGGTACCAAAACAAACATATTAGGCTGCTTACTGCTACTTTCTGAAAACACCCACTGTCTGCCTGTCTCCCAGTTTCTTCATCCTCTTATCTGCTATCATGATATTTGGCTTCTCAAACAGGCTGTAGTGATTTTATTCCTGCCCTGCCATTCTAAAGTGCCTCCATTAGGTAATTCTTTCAGTTTTTTGTATGTTTCTCCATGAAATTCCACAGCCCTATTGGCAGGAATCATATCTCTTTACACCCCTGCATTCCTGAATTTCGTAGTAATGCATCACTAAAAAGTGTAGATAAAACAGCGGCACGTACACATTTTAGGTGCTATGGTCTAGGAATGATAAAGCTTTGACGTGTGAATGTCACGCTTATTTTGAAGCCTCCCTTTAATGTTTTTTGTTTGTTTGTTGTTTTTTTTTTTTTGATACCGGGGATTGAACTCGGGTCCTTGCGCTTGCAAGGCAGGCCACCGAACCGCTGAGCTAAATCCCCAGCCTTCCTTTAATGTTTTTGATGCTAAGACAGAACCTAGAGCTGAGCACCTCCTCTACCACTGAGCTATGCTCCAGCTTATCTGGTACCTTTTATTTTATTTGTATATTTATTGTGGTACTGGTTATTGAACTCAAGGCCTTCACAGTAAGCTACATCTCTAGTCTATGTTTTTGTTTTTGTTTAATTTAGGGTCCTTCTGGGTCAGCCTCGTGCTGGACTTACAGGCATCCACTGCTATACCTGGCTCATCCTGAACCTAAACTTAACATCTGTACACAGACCATTGCTGTCACTTGAATTCTGTAGATCTGCTACTTTGGAATATTTCTATCTGAACTGATTCTTCCATATCAAATAATCAAATAAGAGATACTCATTGAAACTCGTTATCTTTTCAACTGCCTTTTTTTCCCCCCAGCATAAAGTTGAATGGGATTTGCTTCAGAGGGAGGAAGAGATTGCTGAGTTGCAGAAAGCTCTAAGTGATATGCAGGTCTGCCTTTTCCAGGAACGGGAACACGTTTTACGCCTCTACTCAGAAAATGACCGTCTGAGAATCAGGTATCAAATAGATGGAGTGAAATAAATATTGGAGTTATAACTCTAAATTGCATTTAAAGTGATAAATTTATCTCCATTTCTCTGAGCTTATGTACCCCAATAAACAGTCTCTGAGATGAAGATTGCCTGGGGGCAGTTACAGAGGAGGCTCTTAGTGATACCTCTGAGAAGATCTTTTGAGCATATAGCACCTATGGGAGAGTTTGCACTGTGGTACAGTGGTAAGAGAGGCGTGAGCGAACTCCACAGGGGACTCAAGTTAGGATGACCTTCCAGAGGCAAAGGATTCAGAATTTTGTATCCCCAAATTGGTAGTCATTGGATACAGAATGCCTTGGCGGAGAAACTGTCAGCTTGGAACAGTAATCTGCCTTCAGCCACGTGCCATTCTTGGAGAGGGAGTCTCGGTGCCTGGGAGATGGGTGTCTTGATGCTGAAGGGTACATCTGAGCAATGTGCTACAGCATCCGTTGTAGTGCATTTCTGTGTGTGAGTGAAGAAAAATATACACAACATGGAACTTGCCATTTTAACCATCTTTAAGCATATAGTACAAGGGCATTAAATACTGGTGTGCAACCAACCACCCCAACCACGCAGATTTGGTGCTTGTTAAACAATAATTGCCCATGTTCCTCCGTTCCACTTTTCTGTCTCTGTTTGAACTTAAAGACACCTCTTATAAGTAGAATCATTAGTATTTGATGTTTTGTGTCCGGTTTATGTTACTTAGCATATCTTCGGGGTTCATCCATTTTATAGTATGTGTCAAGATTTCTTCTCTGTTTAAGGCCAAGCAGTTTTTCTTTGTATGTGTGTCCAGTGTTTTGTTCGATTCATCTCTCGAGTCCATAAGCTGCTTCTCCCTTTTGACTGTTGTAAATAATGCTGCTATGAACATGGTTATACAGATATTTCTACAAGACTCTGCTTTTAGTGCTTTTGGGTGTCTCTAGAAATGGAATTACTAGATCATATGGTCCCAAGATCATATGATCTTGGGGATGACCAGATTGAGGTTCTCTAATGCTGTATTGACAGAGCAAAAGAGTTAACATAGCCTTAGGAAAAACTATAAAAGTATATTCTTGCCCACTTCACCTGAATGGAATCTGTTTTCAGTATGTAGAAGGATGGAAAAGAATGCATTTTCCAGTCAGGGTTGGTGATGCATGCCTGGAATCCCAGCCTTCGGGAGGCTGAGGCAGGAGGATTGCCACGGATTCAACTACAAAGTGAGACCTTCTCTCACCGCCCCCCTCAAAAGGCCAAATCAGTGGCCACATTCCTTATACCTGACACCAATTTAATCTGCTCTAGCAGAGATATTACTTCTGGCACAGGGGAATTTACTTATTTGAAGTCTGTTGTTATCCTCCAGAATCCATCTGCTTTTGTTCAAGTCATACTGGTGAATGAAATGAGGATTTTTTAAGGATCTATCCCCCTATATCTTTGGGGTTTTTGTTTGTTGTTTTGACTAAGTAGGGGTGAGTACTTTCAGAAGCCTCTGCTTGACTTACCTCGTAACCCAAGAAACTATTTTGGAGCTCTGCCAACTACTGAGTATAGGCATTCTAATTACACATTTGGAACTGGAAAAGTGATCAGTGACTGGGTCTGTGGATCCACAGATGCACTGTGAGCTGGACCTGGGGCAAAATTTCATTTATTACATGGTCTCCACATCCCCTGTGCCGTAACGATGCTTCAGGTATCAGTGTCACCTTAGATGCTCTATCCAGCAGTCTTTGAAATGCCTGGGTATTCCTTTTTCCCTGTGCAATTACTTGTGTGGGCCCTGTGATGAGAAACTGGAGGAAATGTCATGGGCACTTGCCTGTGGTCCCACAGGGTCTTATCTTCAGGGAGATCCAGCCTCTTCTTCAACTAATATATGGAAAATGAGCCAGAGAGTCTAATTTCTTATAGGGTATGGCCCTCAGCTTCTTATGTACCGTTGATTGTTTTGATGGTCTAAGCTATACCCTGGCATGCCTACCTTGCTTCTAAGAACACTGTGTTTTATAACTAGCTTCATATCTGTAGCTCTGCAGTCCCTCTTCAGCTCTGTAGTCTCCTTTGGTCCAGTACTGTCTTAGGTTGGGTTCCCTGGGAAACAAACTGTACAGTGGCAGTTTGCTTGCAGGAAGGTTGTTGGGAAGCTTTCTGAGGAATTACCACAAACAAGGGCACAGGGAAAGCTTGATTGGGCAGGTGGAGAACCTCGACAGACTCAGTTACACTGGGGCTCAGCCAACAACACCACAGTGAGCTTGGAAGCTGGGATGGCTCTTCAGAGCCATGTGAATTTAGTCAGGGAGATTGGATTTTTGTACCTATCCTGGAGCAAGCACTGGAGGCAAGCTAACGCTGAGGAATGGGAGGCATCAGCAGGTAAAGCAGCTTCTCTGGCCAAGAGCCATCTGGAACAGAGATTCAGTCATTAGCGAGCAAAAGGCAGCATTCCTGGCAGGGAGTGAGCTTACCAGTGCTAAAGAGGGGCGGGGCAGTGTTCCTCCACATGCAATGCAGCTGCCCTTTAGAAGCAGCTAAGATATTGCTTCCTGGCCCCTCTCTGAATTCTTGAGTGGAAGTACCTAATGTCTTAAACACTAGTGCTAAAATCTAGGTAAATCCTGTTCAATTTTAATTTGAGGTTACTTTGTTATAACAAGACAGAAGAGAGATCTTGAAACAAAAAAGGTCATTCACTTGGAGCATATGATGTGTGCTTACTTTCTGTGAAAATTTTCAGGGAACTAGAAGACAAGAAAAAGATTCAGAATCTCCTGGCTCTTGTGGGAACAGACACCAGAGAAGTAACCTATTTTTATAAGGAGCCCCCCCATAAAGTAAGTTAGCTTTCATAAAGCTCCCCATAAAGTTAAGTTTCACTTTCATGGTGAGTATGGCCTTTATAAAGTAGAGGTGAGGGTCCACAGTAAATAACTTTTGTACTTGTTCAGGAAGTCACATGAAGAGTAGTGAGCTATTTCTCTGTTTCCAAAATAGCTTACTTTTTTTCTTTTTCTTTTTTGAGATAGGGTCTCCCTATGTAGTTCGGTTGGTCTTGAACTCATTATGTAGCCCATGCTGGCTTCAAACTCTCTGTGATCCTTCTGCCTCAGCCTCCCAAGTGCTGGGATTACATGTTTACACCACCATTCCCGGTTCAAAACTTCTTTAAAACCTTTAGGAAATAGTATTGTTTGCTCCATTTGACCATTTCAAAAGCTGAAGTCCATGATTGGGGGTATAGCTAAGTGGTAGAGCCCTTGAGTAAGCATTCGCGAAACCCTGTGTTCCAAACCCAGCACCACAGTAAAGCAAAAATGAAAAATATAAAGCCTAGAGGAATAGCTGTTTTAGCTGAAATTAGGAAAGCAGGAGTAGACTATAGAGAGAAAGTTTCAGTATTTAAGTTTCTCTTTAAATCTATTGTATAAATTACAAATATAATACACAGTCTATGTTTAAAAAACACACAGTTGGGTGTAATCCCAGCACTTGAGAGGCTGAGGCAGGAGGATCACTGAGAGTTCAAGGCCGACCTAGACTACATATTGAAACCCTGTCTCAACAGACAAAACAAAACAAAATTAAACACGCAGAACCTTGTGTTGTGATACACACCTGGAGTCCCAGCTTCTCAGGAGGCTGAGATTGGTAGGTCATTTGAAGTGAGGAGTTTGACTCCAGTCTGGGCAACATAGCTAGATCCTGTCTCAAAAATAAGCAAAACAGGGCTGGGGATTTAGTTCAGTGGTTCTGTCGCCTGCCTTGCAAGTACAAGGTCCTGAGTTCAATCCCTGGTACCAAAGGGGAAAAAAAAAAAAAAGCAGAACAAAAAA